AATCTGGTTATAAAAAATGCTCAAAATTCTAATTGTGACATTGGCATGAGTGAAAATAAAAGGAGGGCCATTATCTAGGACTTTCTAGTGGCAGGGGGTCGGACTAGATGATCTGTCTAGGTCCCTTCCGACTTACTGATTCTATGATCTAGGACTTTCTGAAAGATTTTTTTAAATAACAACTGCCTACCTCTATTATGAGTCACTTTTTATCTCCTTGCATTTGTCTTCCAAGGGGGTTCTAATCAGATGGCTGTTCTGAGAAAAACAACAAGAAAGAAAAAAAAAAGAACAAAAAAGACAGAAAAATGTGCATACCCCAGCTTTATGAGTTTAAATTCCAGAAAGTGTATGAATCAAGATTCCCAGCTATTACACTGATTGGGACCATATAAGTACACATGCAGAATGTGATGAATGCACATTCTAGGTATGAAAACAGATCAGTGCTCTCATCCTTCCCATTTTTACTCATTCCATGAGAGTCATGTATTAATAGTTTTCTTTCAGTGTGGCAGAAACCAGGCTGAGAAAGCTCAGGTGATCTGATTGATTTCTCATAGTTTCTTCTTACTGAATAAGATGATAAATCTAAGAGAAGAGTAGGTCGCTTTCGCTCTTCATCGCATCTGATATTGCCCTTTATTGATGATATGGCAAAATAAAAATAAAAGCCTGAATACTAGAAAGAGGCTTAAGAGCTGATACTTGTGATTTATGAAAATTGGAAATGCTATAGAGCAGTGGTCTCCAAAGTGGGGTGCACACACCCCAGGGGGTGCGCAAGACGATCCATTGGGGTGCAGGAATAAAATATTAGAACTTCTATTTATATTTATATAAATATACATATATTGGGGGTGCATGCTCAAACATTTTTTACTGATAGGGGTGCATGAATATAAATATACATATATTGGGGTTGCGTGCTCAAAAATGTTTTACTGATAGGGGTGCGCAATCAGAAAAGTTTGGAGACCACTACTATAGAGAAATACTTGAAGTTTTTACAGTTGCAGAAACAACTTGTTGTGCACTTTCGCCACCTAGTGGATATAATGCCTACATAGGAGTTCATTGGTTACACCAGCTTCTGAAGTAACACTGACCAGGACATGGGGGTCATCTGATGACATCTTTGAATAACTAAGTATTATGAAGAACCCCCGTTGTTACTGTTTCTGGTTCTTACTGCTTTTCTTAAAGTTAAAAAAACAATGGTTTTCGGTTGATAATGCTGTCTCTACTGTCTGAACCACTAAATAAAATATTTTAAGAAGTTTACAATAATAAAATGATTGTGAATACTTTACTTGCTGTAAATATATCTGCACTGTTTAAAGTAAAGACTTAGGACTTCTCATACTGCTTCTGCTTACCTAAAGAACCCATAGTGATATCCAACTGCATATAAAATTAAAATTATGCAACGCTCAGTTTCTGTGATCTTTTTACAGAACAGTTCCTCTTCAAGCTTGCTCATCCTTGCGTGCACGGCTGTCATAATTCATTTATACCTATCCAATATTACACACTAATTACTCTGGGTCATACACAAATAACTGACTCAGTTTGCCTGAGGCAAATGTAAAGACTAAAGCATAAATGTAATGTGAGATTAATACCTACTGTACATTCACGGTCAATGCTATATTTAAGATAGATTATGTAAAACCTCTTATAAAAAACAGAAAGGTATTTTGTAAACACATTTAATTTTTAAAGCTCACTGCAGAGTTTCTGATCTGAACAGCTAGGGGCTTAAATGTGATACATACCTTCCTTCTATGTTTAATTTTTACTGCATACAGTCAAGTAAGAAGACATGATAGTATAAAGCAGTCGACACTAGTATATGCTGTAAGTTTTTTATTTTTTTTGTTTGCTTGCATGTGACTTTCAAGGCATAGAAAGCAGTAGTCATTTGTTGTGGGCATTAAAACTCTCTATTACCCACACAAAACAACACTGCTTGAGCAAAATTTGAAATATTTATCCCATTTTTAGACTGAGTAATGTAAATTTGTGCCCTTAAACTTATGGTTCTATTTTGTGAGGTTCTGACCACCTGCAGAATTATTTTTACAAACTAACCTTCAATGACCTATACAATTACACAAAAGATACGCTCCCAAGAAATCAGCACCTTTTAGGATCAGGACCAAAAACATAAAAGCAAAAAAATGAAAAATCTGTACTCTTCCTATGTTGCAGTGGTTGTAACACTGTTTTCTTATGAACAGTTTCTAACTAGAAGGCTATCTGTTACTTGAGACTGGTTATCTGGTCTCTGTAATATTGCTCTAGTTTTGTCATCTGGGATGGACCAGGTCACCAGGAAATTATAGTCATGCTGTATCAGCACCAACAGGTCTGTTTATTTTTCACTTCTGATTTGCATTCTGTCTTCTACCCTGCCTGAAGCAACATCAAAGCATCTCCAGGAGTGTGAGGGTGATAAGTGTAATGATTAGGAAGAGAGTATAAACATCAGGGAAAGGAGAAGGACATGGAACAGATGGGGCAAAGCTGGAATAGAAGATAGGCCAAAAGCCAAGGAAGTTAAGACAGCCAGAAAGAAGAGGTCAGGGTGTGTAAAACAAAAGGTATAGGTAAGACTTAAATGGCAGGTTGAAGAAGGCAGGGAATAAAAGAGGAGACAAAGTTAAGACCGGACTGCAAATAAAGCAAGGTAACACAAAGGTAAACTGTTTGTGAAGAAGGGGTTGTAAACAGATTGTTAGAGAAAAGAGGCGAGAATAAAGAATTTAAATTGCTGAGATGCAAAACTGCCTAAAATTAACTGTCCGATAAACATTGGACAGTTCCATTGGGGAAAGGGACCCTTTTCTTAGGAGGTCTCATTTAGGAGTGGGTTTAAGGATAAAAGCTTGGTTCAGACAATTTCACCAAGGAGGTCTGATGCAAACTGGCTTCACTTGAATATAAAGGCCCTCAAATTATTGTTAAAAATAGCAAGTGGACCCCCAACTTTACCTTTTCCAATACATAAGTTCAGCACACAAAAATGCAAAGGTAGTGCATAAGCAGTTTCTTTAAGGAGATATGTACACAACATAGGGTTTTCACATAAAGTTTTACTTGTGAAAAACACACTCATCACTGGGTCAGTCCTTCCCAAATCTAAATTAGGTCCATTTTTTAAAAGATACAATTAAAAACATGTAATTATTTGGAAGTTAGTTATGGGCTGGCAGTCTGAGCATGAGACCATGAGCCTGAGATACCTAACTTCTAACTAAGGAACTGCATTGTGGGTTGTTCTGTGATATCTAGTCTTTCTGCTGCAGGAAAGGTTGGTTCTGAAGGCAAAGGGACCTAGGACACCTGGGTCCTGCCTCACAATTTCCTGTGTTTCTTATCTGTACAGTTACTATAATCATACTTCTTCCCTACCCCACAGAATTAAGTTTAATATGTAGAAGATACACAAATAGCAAAATGAATGATAGAAGTCATATAAGAATTAGGCTTTTGCCACTCTCCACCATGATGTTAAGTTAAGGAAATATAGCTTAAACTAAACTATTACATAATGACTGCATCTATACATGAGCTTTATTGATGAGTTGACTAATTAGCTCTGCAGTAAAGCAATTAATTAACTCTGCCGTAAGACAGTACTGCTGGGGAAAGTACAATCTTACAGTGGTGTACTTAACTCTGCCAAAACATACATGTAGATGGTGACAAGGGCTGGCTGGGGCACAAGGTGCTAAAGTGCAAGGGCTCTCCACTGCCTAGCTCTACATTTTTGCACCCTCGTGCCCCAGCCCCTCCACTGCCTGATGCCGCCACCTTAAGTCCAGGGCTGACACCCCGGACCTCCTGCCAGCCCGGGGCTGCTCTGCACTGGCTCAAACTGCTGTGGTCCCGGGTACACGTGCAGGTGCTATGCCCAGGAGCAGCTGACTCCAGCACAAACTGCACCAGTTTATCATGTCACCTCAATGACATATGTAGATGCACTCAATGAGTGCAAAACTGGTTGGAAAACTATGCTCACTGTTAAACTGAGAGGAAGCATGAAGTAGAATTCCCCAGGGTCTACCCTGGATCCCATCTTATTCAATACCTTTATTTACAATTTCAGAAGACATAATTGAATGCATATTTAGTATAGTAAATCTGCCAGTGTCAACAAACGGGTAGGTTAGCAGACTATGGAGAATAGGTTTAGGAATAGGAAATCACCTTGATAAACTGAGAAAATGGCTTGAAATAAATTCAAGAAAATTCAGTTAAGACAAGTGTAAAGTATTAAGGCAGTACAATCAAATGCACAAATATAAACTGAGAAACAACTGGTTAGGTTGCAGTAATGAGCAAAGGGCTGGTACATTACAGTGCATCACAAACTGAATATGAGTTAACAATATAATACTGTTGCAGAAAAAGAGATAATAGCCTAATGATAAGTATTAGTAGGAGTGTTATAAGTAAGTCAATGGAACTGTTATGCGCCTATTCAGCATTGGTAACACCACCTGAAATACTGTGTCTAGTTCAGGTTACCGCATTTCAAGGAAGAGTAGACAAACTAGAGAGAATCCACAGGACAGCAACACAAATAATCATAAGTCTAGAAAATATGATTTATGTGGAAAAACTGGAGGAACTGGGATTATTTAGTTTGGAGACAGGAAAATAAAGGGCTGAAGAGAAACAGAGGTGGAGACAAAGTGATTGCTCCATAGCTGTACAAGGGTAGAGCTGGGAACAAAATAAAGGTCTCCTGGCTCCCAGCCTAAAGCCTTATTGAAGAGGTGACTCTATCCCTGTTTTGGCTGCCAAGCACTTCAGCAACCTGATTTTTTTATTTACCTGCCTTTAAATTTATAGTAACATACACTTATTGTTTCTGTACTTGCCACTGTGTCCACGGTGAGCAAAAGTTATTGCATGAAAACTGTTTTGAGAATTCATGGTATTGTGTATTGTTATTATCAGCACAGTAGGTACTTCCTGCAAAGTCCTACCTGTGTGTGTCCTTCGGTGAGCCTTCAGATGAGAACTTTTTGTGTACACTTTGTTGCATCCTTCAAAATCACATCTGTGGATGCGCCGTTTCCTGGAGTCTGGGGATTCAGATCTTCTCTGGCGTCTTGTGCTCTCAATACTGAATTGTGAAATTGGACTGTAAAATATAACAACATTAAAAAAAAATTAGGCAGGAGATTATCATACATATTGGGCATCAAGTGTTACTGAGAAATTAATAGACTACAAAGATAAAAAGGTTTATTGTGTTTTTTCTAGTTTTGCCTCCTGAGAAACACAGAACATAAGCCATTTCTTCTCTGCATAAATACCTGTTTGAACTAGATGTAAGCTTTTGAGAAAATGAATCCAGGTTTCAGTTAAAAATTTCCCATGATGAAGAACCTACTACAAACCTTTATATGCCCCTTCAGTGGTTAAATATTTTCACTACTACATATTTGAGCTTAATTTCTAGTCTGGATTCAACTAGCTTAGAGTTCTAGCCTTGATCATGTTATATCTTTGTCTACTAGAGTGTTATATTTTTGATCATTTTTGAAGTTCTGTTTTCTCAGGGACATATGTATTCATTGTAGTGAAGTCTACCTTTCATTCTGAACCTTCTGTTTGATAAAGTAGGTCAGAAGTGCTCAACCTTCTGGTCCCACAGGCTTGATGAGTGGTGCTGGGCCAGTACACAGGCTGGATTCCATTGGTGGGATCAGTTTGTGGGCCTGATCTAGTGTGGGGTTTGTCCATGGGTGTAATCCAGTGTTCTGGCCTGGCCTCATGTGCCGGATCTGGCCACAACCTGACCCTGTTTACTGGACCCAGGGGCAGCTGGACCCTGTCCACTAGCCCAACTTCACACACCAGATCTGGCTGCAGATTGACACTGTATACCAGTGTGATCAGCAGGGATCATGGTTTTCTCTGGTTAAAAAAAACAAATCCCCAATTTTCAGATTAAAAAAAGTAACCCAAAATCCACATTTTTCTGTGATTAAAATGAAATCACAGAAAAATATGGATTTTGGGTTACTTTTTTAATCCAAAAATTGGGGGGGGGGGTTTAATCAGAGAAAACCAAGATCCCTGGGGATTAGGACCATGTAATTTGGGCCACATGGTTCCAAAGGGGTCTAGAAATGTATCAGTGGGGGAGCATTCATTGCTGCAACTCTGGAACCTGGAGTTCCACAGGGAACTCCATGCCCCAGATGACACTGCCCTTCAGGCTGGACATTGAGCACCACTGAACAAAATAGATTAGGATCCTGGAGTCTCTCACTGTCTACAAAAGCCTATTACATTACAGTTTCCAATCCATTTATTGTGCTCATAACTCTTCTCTGAACCCTCCTCAGTTTCACTATATATAATATGTAACAAAGAACTAGACAGTCATCCAACAGAAGTTGCATCACTGCCAAATGCACAACTAATGCAGCTTATTATTCTTGCTTGATATTCCCCTTTTTACATATCCAAGATTCAGGTTACAGTACCTCGTTTGGCAATCTCATTACAAGTTCATATTCAGCTGATGTCCCCATAGTGTTCAAGCCTTTTTAGGAACACAGTTCCTCATCATATCTGACCTATATTCTTTGTTCCTAGGTTTATGACTTCATATTTGGCTTGACCATACTGCTTTCTTGCATCCATCTTAGCAAGAGATTCAAATTGCTCTGCACTGGTAGTTGTTTTTCTTCATTATTTACCATTGGTCCAACTTTTATGCCACCTGTATATTTTATGTTAACTGCATCAATAACAACTGCATGTTTTCTGCCAGGTCACTTATTACAAAAAAAATGCTAAATGACATTTTAAACCAAGACCTTTGGGCTTCCACAAAAAAATACACATTTGAGCTAGTGGGTGAGTCTCCATGAGACATTTACTAGAGTTCACTAATCAGCTCTGAAGTAAACGTCTCGCGTCTACACACGCAGTGCTATCAGGATGGAGGAAACTAATTAACTCTGCAGTAGGTTAGTACTTATGAATACAAGTACTATCCTCCTGCAGAATGTTTCACACTGCAGCAGCACACGTGTAGATGTTGATGCATCTGGCAGGGACATGAGAGTGTTTCAGTGTGGGGGCTGCCTGCCAGCTAGCCCTGCCCTGGAGCACCCTCATGCCCCAGCCAGCCCCTCCACAGCATGTTGAGCTGAGTCAGAGCAGCCAGGGGGTTGGCAAACTGACCCCTCACCGGGCCTCCTGCTAGCTGGGGCTGGTCTTTCCTGGCTCAAAGTGGTGCAGCCCCAGGCTCATGTTCAAATGGTGTACCCAGGAGCAATAAACTCCGGAGTTTACTGTTTTGCATTAATTGCACATGTAGCTATACCCAGTTTAATGTATGTATCAGGTGCCATGGTAGCTTTATATTACTCTAGTTTCTTAATCAAAAAGGCACATGATACTAAGCAAAATGCTCTACAAAAGCTTATTATATCAATGCTATTAAACAAATCTGTGATATTATAAAAGATATAAAATTACTGTGACAATATCTATTTTTCCATAAACTCATATTGACTGGTATTGACTATATTTTCTTCCTTTAACTGATAATTGAATCCCATATGAACGACTCCATTATTTAATCCAGGAATAATGTTGGGCTGATAGGCCTAACACTACCTAGTTATCCAGCTTACTCATTTTAAAAATTGATATAAAAGTGGATTTTCTTCAGTCCTCTGCAACTTTAGTAGTCTAGATATCTCCTCAGACAACTCTTTTAGAACTTCTGGATACAAAGTTATCAAATCATAGAATTCAATACTTTGTATACAAAGCAGTTTCCTATATATATTATTTTTCAGCATTATTTTAATTTGGAGTTTCCCATGCTAATTTTTATACTTTTTGAGAAAGTCAAAGCATTTTCTTATATATTTTTTGTTTTGTGTGTAAGATAACCCTAAGCATCAAACTAACAAAGTTCTTTCTTGGGAATATATATATACATGCGCACACATACATAAATCTATCTATCTATCTATCTATCTATCTATCTATCTATCTATCTATCTATCTATCTATCTATCTGTCTATGTGTATATGTGTGCACATTTGTGTGTGAGAGTGGGCGGGTGCATGTACTACCAGCAGCTGTATTTCAAGGAGACTATTTAAAAAAACCAGATGAATCCTTGCACTTAAAACAAACAAGCTAAATTAGCTATACCAGCTATTTAGCTACTTGATAAGAATAGGAACAAATCTGGTTGGGCAGCAAATGGCTAAAGAGTTGTGTTTTGGTATCTGCATTTTGCAAGAGGCAAGGGAAGGGGAATATGTCTTTTATGGAGCTAATTCATAATGCTAAAGATGTTATTTTAAAACATTCCCACCAGTCAAAATAAAACATAAATGTGGAATAAAAAGACAGGATGGCAGGAAGGCATAAGGGGTGTGCATCAGGGTCTGGGGGAATGCCTGTTCACCAGAGCACCCCAAGGGATGACAAGGTCCAATGGGCACAAACTCCTGCAAGACTGTTTTAGGCTGGAGATAAGAAAAAACTTCTTTACTGTCTGAACCCCCAAGGCCTGGAATAGTCTCTCCACAAGAGGTGGTGCAAGCACCTACTCTAGACACTTTTAAGAAACATTTGGATGCTTATCTTGCTGGGATCCTTTGACCCAAGCTGACTTCCTGCCCTTTGGGCAGGGGGCTGGACCTGATGATCTTATGAGGTCCCTTCAAGCCCTAACGTCTATGAAATCTATGAAATCTAAAGCAGGCAGTTCCTGCCCAGGGCAGGGGGTCTTGATGATCTGTTCAGGTCCCTTCCAACCCTAGAAACTATAAGGTAGGCAGGCAGGAAGGAAGCTCCCCTATATTAAAAAACAAATCCTAAACCACAAATACCATATAGGCAGAAAATACTGCATGCACAAAATCGTAAAAGTATTATCTTAAAAAGCATGTTTATTGTTCTTTTCTGCATGTGATTTATGATTTGCCTTAGAAGTTTCCGTTGGATGAGGTGTTCAAGTCCTGGATGGTTCATTCTGTTTGAACGTTACGTTTAGTGGGAGGAGAATTAAGTTGATAATATTGTTGTGAGTTCTAGCTCTGAGTAAAACAAATATAGAGCATAATCAGAAGCTAAGATATGTTACCATAAAATTGACATTTGAACAGTTTGGGGGTGGGGAGACAGGGGAGGAGAGAGGAATATATGAAAGAAAAGGTATTGCAGGGGTGACAAAGGATCCACATTGCTCCCCTTATAGGTGCTCAGTACTTCACATGGGTAAAGCCCCTGCATTCCAAAAGCAAGGCACAAAGTAGATGACAATGCATTTCCTTTCCATCTAGGAAATCACATATAAATAACATGTCATCTTCTTAATGACCTCAGTGAGAGGGAAGGGTGTTAAGATACTGCTAACCATGAGTTGTACCTGTAATCCAAACATTGTAGCTATTTCAGCAATGTGAACTAAATAATGCACCAACCAGCCATAAAAAGCCATATAAAACAACGTTAAGCCTAAGCCTAAGTACAGACAGTCAAAAAGCCTGAGGCTAAATCAATTCAGTCTTTGAAGGTTAGTCTAAACTGCACCTGATCTAAAATGCTGCTGCTTGCTTGTGCATCAGCATCAGCACAGACTTCAACATCTGTTGAACCTTATACAGCAACTGTGATGGCATGGGATACAGGTGCGTTGGAGGATACACACTGACCCTGTGAGGCAGGCAGGGAATAAAACCCTTCAATGGACAGGTAGAAAGAAACTGTCCCTAGAAGAACTGCCTGAGGTATCAGATTGGGAAAGAAAATCTGGAACCTATGCTTCTCAGAAAAACACTGTCAGATGTATCAGCTCAGCTGGTTTTTAAAGGGCCATTTTCCTCCTACCCAGGGTTGGGGTTTAACTCTTTGCTGGGTCATCCCAAGTTAGGTATTATGGGTATATTCTGGGACACCACGGCTGAGTGTCGTGGCTCAGCGTCAAAATTACACCATATTTAACTCTGTTTAACTAATAGTCAGAATTTGTGTCTTAATGTCAATATTATGTTTTTTTTTCTTAATTAACTTATTTTAATGACCATATAGCTTGTGTAAAAACTATTCCAAAGACAGGACTACTCTTCTCAGATAAGCAGCAACAATAACCATAT